CCTAAACTAACCAAAGAGGTATTCTATGCCATATAGCATCATGCACAGCAATAAAAAGGGAAAAGAGAGGGTTTACAAAGCTAGCTGTCTTTTACTCAGGAACTGGCTTGGCATTGGTCTACCTGTGGGAGATGGTGAGTTATTTTCTTTGCATGCTTGTTTTGTTTTTTTTTTTTCTTTCTCTTTTCCTTCACTTATTTAAGAATTTTTGTCCTGATCCACAAGTTCTATTAGTTTTACCATTCTTTTCTTCTTCCCCTGTCCCACTGGGGTGAGGGGGTGGGTAGTAAGCAAGCAGCTGTGTGGTGCTTAGCTGCCTAATGGGATTAATCCACAATGGTCTGATATTCCATTAATTTAAATTAGTTTACAAGTTATGGACACCATACTGACTTGTGTGATGCAAAAGAACTTTGGGCTTTTAATATTTCTGGAAATTGTAAGAAGCCCTGTCACAATGACATGATGTGTCTGGTTTGCATGTAATATATTAATAATATTCCACAGTTGCACTCACCAGTATGGACAAGTGCATGATGCTTTCTTGAGGTGCAGAAAGGGGAGACCTTGGAGGTAATGGTGCACATTGAGTTGAGTATCATGGAGGTAGAAGGCAAGAATTGCCTTTTCAAAGCAGAATAGAGCTGACTGAGAAACTGTTAATAAGTTATTAAGTAACTGAAACTTTCAAAACTCTCATGTGCTGATCTGTCAAAAATCTGAACTTTGTCTCAATAGATCAGTATACTCTTAAAATTGAGTAGTTTTATCAGGAACAAAGCAGTTACTTTAGAATTGACTGTTGCAGTCCCACACATCAGTAAATATGTAAGCAAAATAAAGCATCAAAGTAAATTATTTCAAGCAAATAAAGTACGATGAGAACTATTATTGTAATACTTTCAGACTAAGCAACAAAACTTGCATGTTTATAAACATACCAGCTACACGAGTCCTTAAATAGTCCTGACTTACTCATTTACAGTGTGTCGTTTTATGATTATTTACTGTAATTAGAAAGAATCCTGACATACTAGCTTTCTCCACATGGTAAAATCTGATAAGGGCTTTCACTATTAGTCTGTTTTTGTTACTGTGTACATGTAGGAAAAAAGCCTAAAGATTTGAACTTGAAAACTTGTTGTCACAGCAGGGCTGTCCACAGTGAACTACAAGTTTGCATTCCTACCACATGCAGTAAGGTTTTCTCTATAGACTCCTGTCACTGAGGAATTTAGCAAGGAACAAGAAATCTTCAGTCAGAGAAGGGCCACAAGTGTGTGAAAAGCTAGCCACACATAAACACTAAAGGTCATTAGCAGGCTCCTAGACTTCTATCTAGGAATTAGTTTTTTAGATCATTAACGGTGAAAAAGCCTAGGAAATGAATAGGACTCAGTGTCCTATTAAAAATTAGCCAGAACAATTAAAAGGTTTTCCAGTTTTTAATGGGAACCAGACCTGATGCCTCATTTTCCTTGTCTAGTGGGCTGTTTCTGCATTTTGAATGACACTAATTTTATGTCCTTGTATTTGTAAAGAAATATCTTGAACTACTTTTTTTGTATAGGAGTTGTAAACTATTTACAATGAGGGCAGTGAAATCTTGGGAGATGTAGAATCTAGTGTCTCCCTAAGATTGTGTTACTGAATCCAAGTCTTGTGACTCTGAACTATTACAGTTAATTGTGATAGGATTGCTTCTGGTGTGTGCAAATGTATATTTTGCAAACTTCTAATACATTTGCTGTATTATGTAAATCCATAAGTTAAAATGCTCATTTGGCTGCAAATGCAGAGCCCTTTTTGCTGTGAGGTGTCTCTCCTTATGGTGTTATGTGTTTCCTTAAACTCAGTTTTCTAATTTCAACAGCAGCCTTTCTGCTTTCATTTCAGTGTAAATTCCTTGCTGCTGAGTGGATGACTGATAGTTATTTAAGAGCTATGTTCTCCTTCACTGTATATTTTTCCTTAAGCCTCTAGTCATCTCTTCACTTTGGCACAAGAAAATAATGAACAGTGCACTTTTAGTATTTTAGAATGTAATTTTTGGAGAGGTTTATTAAATACCTTCTTTCCTTATTTTTGCATCTTAGCATGCATTCCCTACAGAAAAATCCAGAGAGAAGAAGAGAGAGAAAGAAAGAAGAGAGAGAGAGAGAAAAAGAGAAAGAAAGAAAGAAAGAAAGAAAGAGAGAAAGAAAGAGAAAAAAACCCCTGTAATGTCTGATTTGCCCGCAGGCCTGCCACTCTGGAGGAAAACAAGCCCACAAGTTCCCAAACTTTTTCACTCTGTGGCTGTTACACTCATTTCTGTCCCCGTATGCTTTAGGCTCCAAATCTTCCCACTTAACTCTCTGGTAATAATCAAGGTAATCTATGAATACAAGCCATATGATTTTCCTCAAAGGATAAAAAAGAAAAAATAAATTTGGATGAGGAAAAGTGGACTGCAGATAAATGGAGTGGGGATGGGGAGAATAAAAGGACAGGAGAAAGGCAGGACAAGATGATCTTCCTCACAATCTTAATTTTGTACTTGGTCATTCATTTACTCTAGATGCAGAATTCCTTTCTGCAGTGAGTGAATTGCCCTGTCATTAACATAAAATTAGCTCCAGATGGTCTTGGCCAAGATCTTTGAAATATGTTAGTATAGAACCACACACTCAAAAACATGTGGGAATCCATGTGGGCTTCCAGATGTGAGAATCTTCTGTGTTACAAATGTAGTTATGTTTATGTAGCCTAATAATCTGCTCAGTGGATATACTGTCGATGCAGCTGTGCCTCAGTTGTGGTCTGTTATGTGGCACTCTGCCTTAGTGAATGCATCTTGTTTCTTATAGTGAGTCCATTCTGATAATGGCTACTTGTAAACAAACACTGGCATGCAAGATAAAATACTCTGTCATGAAATGTAAGGAATTCAGCATGAGCTAGTAGATTGAATTGAGAGTGGAAATTTGAAAAATTTCGTGTTTCATTTTTGATTCCTCATAGTATTTTGCTGCTAATTGTTTTTCTGATTTATGTTTCATCAGTGAATACTTTCTACACTAGGATTAAAATTCGAAAGCCTGAGAAAAGTTTGAAGAAGTCATAATGTTTTCTGTGTTATCTAAATAAGCATTTAAGGTAGTGATTTGATTTCAGTTATATTATCAAAAATACAAGACTGAATCCCAGTATAATTACCTGATTTTATGTTCATCTAACTAATGATCTCTACCCACAGAGATAGTCTGTTGATGCTCTTTTTTTTTTTTTTATGTTTAAGAGCCCATATTATCTTGATTTCTTTAATGCAGAATGTTCTTCTGTTGTATGTAGTGTAAGAAGGGAACTGGGAGTATCTTTGGGAAGGAAATTGATCTGTGCAGGAAGACTAGTGGGTTGAATAGATCTATAAAGCTGAGCTTAAGGACATCAATTAATGCCTGAACTCTACAGTATTCAGTCTGTAGCAGTGACTATTAGCTATTCTTAATCTTTGAATGTGTAAGTACAGAATGGTGACTGACGGTAAGCTGAAATGTCATTCTTGTTCACTTTGTAGTGCCACCGAGTAATTTTTAATAGGCACAAGTTTTTCAAAGAAGTTCTATTCCTCTCCTGACTGAAAACTGTCTTTATTCATGAACATGAATATTCAGTTTCAGGGGCAATCCATGCACCTTGTGCTACTTTGGCTGTGATCTCCTTGTGTCGTATACATCAAACAGGATCATGTCACTCCTGTAGTTGGATCAGAGACCTTCAGGGGGAAAAAAAATCAACTCTACGTCTGATATTGATCTCTCCTCTGAAATGACAGTAGCTCCATCCTCTAGCACAATGGAAAGTAAATTCTCTGTAATAGTCATTACACAATGAATAAAATTGTTGTTTGACATAAATCACTGTAGCCTAAGAGTTCATTAGACTGTCAGCTGATCCTTTGTCTCTTGGAGGTTGGGTAAAACAGAGGCTTTTATTGTAGAAAGCATCTTTTTCCATTAAATTTTGCATATTGTTTCCAACATTTTAATATATATTATTATATCTCCTATATATCCTATTTCATGAGCAAGTGTATTATGCATATCTAAAATAGGTCTTGTACTTACTATTATAATCTTTAAAGTGTCAGGGAGTATTGTGCTTCTCTGTTTTCAGGAGCATTAAGGATTGTAAAAGCTGGAAGTAAATTCCCATTGCAAACCTCTTTGAGCAAAATATCCTTTGCTATTCATCACCATAACCAGCTAATATCACTTGTTATCTTTAGTAGCAAATTTTAAGAAATGTCCAGGAAAGAAGACTTGTATGATACAAAATTATAGGAGTGTGACACTCTCTGAATAAGAAAATGACTGAAAAGATACATCTGTGAGCTATGCAAGCAGTAACAGCTTGAAGGAAGCACTAAAACTGTCCTACAGAAGACAGAAGAACAATTTCTTCTGTCTCCTGCCATGGGTCATGCTTGACATGGTTGAGAGAGGCTGTGTGGCATTTCTACAGTGAGAGGCTGTGAATACTTCGGTCAGTATGTGACACTGTTTGTGGGCTGGTGCTGTCCAAAACTGTTTCTGACCCCAGTTGCATTGTCCCAACAGTCTTTTAGCAATGTGTATTTTTCTTTCAGTAACTAAAATCCTAAAGTGAGTGTGTCTATGCATACATAACAAACCAAGGTATATGAAAAAGTACATGCTCTGGTAATTAAAAAGCGGTCAGATCTAGCGCAAGACTATGCAAAGTCAAAGGCCTCAGTGCCTTGCAGACATCAGACTTCTGTCCTAACTTTCAGCACAGAATCTGTCTAGAACCTAGTGAGGATATTACATAAATGATGTAATTATGTAAATGTATATTTAAATTAAGTTTGAATTGAAAAACATTTATATTGATACAAGGGTTCTGCCAGTGCTTTTGCATCTCTCGAACTTTTTTATGGCACTGCTTTTAATTAATTATATTTTGACAGAAAAAATTCTCTCCTTTTTTTTTTTCAGACTGAAGAACAAATGAGCCTCTCTGAAGAGCAGCTTAAGACCCTTCTGGAAGAATGTATGCAGCCTGAGAGAACAATAAGTAACGTTACCATGCCAAAGTCTCAGGAATCTCTTTCTTTTGGATTAAGTCCCCCTTCTTACACAAGTCAAGACTCCACTCTTCACTCCACATCTACTCTTTCCAAAATGTTAGTTGAAGACCATATTGTAGGGATGTTAATGGCTCAGGAAAAGGCTGGACTCGAAGACAAAAGCTTATGTGCAGAGAGCGAAATCCCTGGCTACTATATCAGCAAAGCATTGGCTGGTAGTCACTTATCAAAGGATTCACTGGCCCAAACAGAGGAACCTGATGACCTAGAAGGTTTACAGAAGATGGGAGATGAGAGTATTACTGAAGGTTACTTTATGTCAAGAGCACTCAACACAAAAAGATTGAAGAAACCTTCTTTCTTGGGTGAACCATTATATTGCATCAGCATGAACAATGAGCCATGCACAGAGGCTGACATTCTCAGCATACCACTGCAAACCAAAGGAGGTGAGACTCTTAACAACCCTTTAGAATAGGCTTTTGATTATAAAGAAAAAAACCTAAGCAGGTTCTCACCAAAGATATGCACCAATAGACCCTGATTATTATGGTGGGCCAAGGATGTTCTTTTATAAAACTGTGCCAAAAATAATACACACAAAGTAACAGAATGTTTATTAAAATTCTTGCTCTGACATAATTGACTAGGAGTTTTATGAAATACATCACTGATGTTGATTAATTCTGTCAACTGGAAAACAGTGTTGACAACACATATGGATTATCTTTTTGGTAGTAGAAAGTCATGTTCCCTGTTCTGTGGAGACTAAATATTCTCCCAGTAGTTGGTACAATAATTCACTGAAAAATCCAAGTGTTTTGTGCAAGTTTTTAATAAGGTAAACTCAGTAGTATAGAAACAAATATGACCTGGCTTTATTAAAAATACTAAACTGCTTTCAGGGAATTCAAATTTACACATAGAAGATATCAAAATTCATAAATACTGCACAATTTCTATAAATTACTTTTAGTTTGGTAAAAGAAAGAAAGAAAGAATAGACTTTAACCAGCAAAAAATGAAAACCTCTACTTGGTGTTACAAAAGGATTGTGGAAATGTCTGTGGTTTTTATGTCCTTTACTTATATGCAATTATATAGTGATATTGTAACTTAAATCTACATTTAGATTTTTAGCCTAAGACTACTTCTCTTCCTGGAAAGCCAACTGTTCAAATAAGCCAGATTTTAGGCAGGTAAATCTTTCACTTCTTTCATAAAAGTTGTGACAGTATGAAGTTTGTGATTAGAGTGCTACAGTTTAATTTTATTAGAAATCAATACATTTTGCTTTGTCAAGATTGGTCTTTGTTATACTAGTAATCTATTCTGAATTTAGAGAAACTTTTTTTTTCACATACCTTGATAATTTAGAATAACGTCCTAATATTGCTTTGCTATGTTATAATTTCTTAATTATGATCACATCTGTTTCCTTGGTTGTCTGTACTTAACCTTTCTACATTGAAGAGAATGTTAATATTTTTCAAAGGGATTCCACCTGTCAGAAAGCAGGAAGGCTTGTTATTTCTGCTTTTACACTGCCAAACAACTTATATATCCAGGCTCACCTGCCATATTTGCCCCTTATGAGATTTAGGTCATAGCTGCTGCAACACGAAGAAAATAGTACCTGTAGAAAAGGTTGGGTGATTTGGGGTTTTTTTTGGTTGGTTAGTTTTCAGCTACCTTCATGTGCCAGCTGTGCTCTTCATGTAGATGCAAGCATCAGAAGAACAGAGCAAGGGAGGAAGGAAGCGGTCTGCCCCAGAGGAGAGCAGGGTAGCAGTAGTGGTGGTGGTCATAGGGAACACCACAGAGGACCACCTCTGCCAGCAGCAATTGATCTCACGCAAGAGTAACGTGATTACATTCTAAACCACCAGTCTTCCTTGGCAACTACCAGTGAAAAAAACTCAGTACCTTGCTGCATTCACAGCTTTAGATCTTTAGTTAGAACTTTAGTTAGATCTTTAGTTCTCCTTTAGTCCGAACTGATGTAGTACAGTTAGAACCAAGTGTGACACAGACACAGTTACCACCTCTCATGAGTGTGTTTTAAGATGGGATATGGTAAATCAAGCAAAACACCATACACTGTGACCACTACGTTGTGAAGTGAGCAGGAAACAGTATACATAGTCCCTATGAGGTACTTATATTGCAGAAGAGAGGAAGATTTTCACTATTAAGTAAATTTCCATATAGGACATCTCATAGTAAAAGTCTGTAAGGGGAATTTATTAACATTTATCATGTAATAATTTAATTATATTTGAGTCAAAATCATGTGTACCAGAGTAATGCGAGGGATATTTTGATTGTCTGTTTTCAGTAGTGACTGAGTAATGTTCGACTGTGTAGAACTCAGTTCTGTATGGTTAATAAACATCTTGGGTTTATGATTGTTTTGCTTACCAATTTTTTTTTTTTTGAGGGGGGGAGTATTCTGAATTTTTGGTCTCTGATTTATTTTAATTTTTTTTGATAGAAAAGTAAAAACAAAACCAAGGAGATAATAACAGATATTGTAATTTCCTCAGGCTTTGAATTTTTGTATTAGTGTCTAATTTTTTAAAGCGGTGTGAACAGGTAACTTTTAGGCACAATAAAAGTAAGTGCAAAAATAAAACCCCCTTCAGAGGTTTGTAACTGCTAAATATTTTACAGATATCCATGTTTAAGTTTAAATTAATTATATTCAGATGTATTGTGTTCTGTTAGTATTAATGTTATGATTAAACAAACATCCAAAATTAGCATTTAAATAGGCAGCAGTCCATTCTTATTATTTTTGTTAATGTACTGTTTACAAGTAAATGTATAGCATAAAACAGAAAACCCTGATACCTTTCCATGGAATTAATTTGTTTCCCACAAAGGTGATTCAGTTCTGTCTGAAGCAATTATTCCTGGCCATAAGCAAAAGGGTGTGATGTTTATCAAATCTGTAAAGTTGCTTAATGTATTCTGTAGATAATCTAGTTGTTAGTTCAGACATGATTAGATATGCTAATTTTATTGAGGAATGGAGATCCCAGTGGAATCCAGTTTAAGGCAAATACATCTGTAGATGAAGGTGTGAGAAGTGTCAGGTGTTATTTTTATTTTTATTTTTGAGAGATATTTACATAGTTGAGCTTTGTTATGGTCTTAATTCTAAAGGACATTTAAATGCGTATGCATAATCTTTTGTAAGTAGTTTGATTTTCTTGCCGACTGACACATGGTTTAAATTCTCTTTAGTGCTGGGTAAGCAAAAAAACCTATGTTTGTGTGAAGCTGGTTTAGCACAATTTTGGTTTTGCAGTCCTTATGGTACTGTAGTCTGTGATATTGATTTACTGTAAGACATTAAATGATATTTTAAGAAAAGCATAATTATGAACATAATGCATATGTATATACTTGTGTATATATATATCTGAAGGAAACTCTCATGTGCCTTCAGAGATAAGTAATTCCTGTTTCTTAAAAGAAGCAGTAATCTACATCTGGCTCATATGCATGTAAACATAGATGATGTTTAATGAGGGAAACAGAATCCAGACTTACCCATATACAGATATAAAAAGGATGGTATTTCTTAGTTGTATGAGCCAATTAGTAATTATTTCCAGCTCTGTTTTGGGGGGCTATATTAAGTTTTAAGTAGAAGTTGTATCACAAACTGTTGTTACTTTTTCTTATTGCAAATAATGCTGTGCTTACAGTGGTTCAGCATATTTTTTCTTTATTTTTTCAGATGGTATGAACATTGAAATTTGAGGGGAGAGTGTGTGCTTCTTGGCACTGTTTTTCTGAAAGCATGGTTAAACCTCCATCAGTGATATTATTCTGATTCAGCATGATTTCGAGCAACCTGAAGGGAATGAATTATCATCATTGAAAATGTTCCGTGAGTGGACTTATTCTTAAGAGATAATTATTATTATCATTATCATATATTGTTGCAGTTTGATTTCAGAATAAACTCTTGCATTTCATTAAATTAAATACCTAAGAAATAAATGTACACACACATTTGTGTAGCCGTGTGTCTGATAGATATGCATGTCTTTGGGAAAAATGTAAAATAAAACTTGGAAAGTTCAGTATCTACTGATGGGGCTTTACTAGAGCAGATGTGAAACGTATATAATAATTTCATTTTTCTTCACACACACAATCTAGATTTTTCATAAATTTAGCTAAAACCTGGCCTCTGGTTACCCCACTGCAGTTTCCTGGAGCTTGCAGCCTGTCTGAGTAAGAGCCCTGACTCAGGGAAGGACCCAGCTGTGTGCTAAGTTTTTTGCCTTGGGGCTGTCTGTTGGGTGGACAGCTGGTTTGGTTGAAGGTTTGACTTGCACAAGTCCTCTGCTGGATTAGAACATCAGCACTTGTCTGCTCAGGTCTGCCTGAATCTTGCCTGCAAAGAGTGTAACCACACAGCCAACAGTGGCTGTTTGGTTAAGAAATGCAACTAAATGAGGAGAAATTGCAGTCCCTGGTGAAGGCTTGGTGTGAGAGAAAGTGAAGGAGTTCAGAAGTTTGCCCCAGCAGTTACTGGATTGTGAAACATTATAGTAATGGCTACCTGAGGAGAGGGTAATGCATCTGGCTTGTATTTGAGATAATAGTAAATATTCATTACAGGTTTTTGATTGACTAGTCTTTACTGGTTTTCCTGATTTTCTCCTTATTTACTCAACTGATGGTCAGTTTTTCATTTCATGCACTACAGTGTCAGAACAAGAAGACATTATTAAAAAAACATGGTTCTTTTTGAGTTCTTTTGTTAAGGTGGAGAGATATTCTAGCAAAGAAGATTCAGTAGATTTTTCCCGTTGACAAACTCTCATGTGATTTGACCTAAAAGGACAAATTATTTCTCAGATCCTATACTAGCCATTTAACATTCACCAAGAAAAGATGTACAGATAGAATGTTAAATCTACAATGGCTGTTACCACATAGGGCTTACTTGATCTAATCTGAATGTTTAAATTAATGCACATATTGGCCCAGATTTTAATCTAATTTACAGAGTTGCCATTAGAAGTGGATGCACTCCTGGGGAAGTGGTAATCATGTGGATGTAGCAGAGATCAGAATCTAACCTACTTGCTTTTCATTAAAATCAGAATGGGACATGATATTTGTAACAAGCAAGTGCTATTTCTTCTTTTATTTTCTGATATTTTTACTTACTCCGCAACAGCAATAACAAACCTGTTGATACTGGATGTTCTGCATAGGATTGCTGTAAGCACATTTCATGGAGCTTTGCAAATCTCACCTAGATATATTTCTCATCTTCCTTAAAGATGTTAAGCCTGTGTCATAATTTCAATAGCATAAATATGATCAAAGCAATACCAACAAGTTTTTTCAAGACTATTTTCTGTGACTGTATGATATTCATGCATTACTGTTCACTGGCTGTAATCTTTCCACAATCCAGTTATTTTCACATTGAACTTGTGTTTTATAGAGACCTTCTCAAAAACAAGTGTTCCAAGTGCTTGGGTAGTTTTTTAAAAAAAAAAATCAAGTTCTGTTTAGAGATTATATATAGTAAATAATTTTTCATTTTCTTGGTTTATTATGTTATCTTAACTCTCTTGTTGTAATGAAAAAGCTTTTCCTCAAGGAAGGGTCACCGTTGCTGACTAAGCTTTGCAACATCCCTGAGGCCATGAATGCACTTTTTATTCACGTCTGGCATTTCAGGGATAGGGAGGCAAGTTTGAATGACTGTTGACTTGAACTGTATATTCCAAGAGGAGCTCTGTGACTTAACTTTTAGTCTTGGGAAATGCTGAGCACCCTGCAGCAGTTGTAGTCATTGCAAACCACAGGGATGTAGCACTCATGGCCTGGTATTCCAAAGATGGGTTTGGTCAGTACCCAAACTCAGAGACTGGCAAAAACTAGTGACCTGCTATTTATCTTTGCTTTCTTTCTACTGCATTATATTAAATAACAGGTTCTTTGGGAATATTTTCTTTCTTTCTTGATATTACAAGTGAAATATCAATTCCAACCCTCCTTTTTTTTTTTTAAACTTCCGGTTGTAAGTAAAACTGTAGGAAATAAAATTATTTGGTAAAATATGGTTACTGGTAAGATGTACACAATAACAGAGATATTATAGAAAATATGTGACAAGGTCATTTGCTGAAACATCACCAATACTAGGGTAAAAGGAAAGCTGAGCCCAGGAGGATTCATGGGTTTTTCTTTGTTTTTCCAGTTACTCTGTGTTGTGACCTGCAATAACCCCTCTGTCGGGGCTCACCACTTGAATTCCAGCTGCACTGGAATGTGGCAGCTTCTCCTCAGGGAGTGATGCTGCAGTGATGATTAGGATATTTAGATGAATTTTCTTTTGCAGCCTAACTCAGGATTTGGAAACAGGTTTTCTGAAATACATACCTTCATTTAGCATAAGTTGTATTTGGCAAAAGATTCTGTTAACTAGCTTCTTAACCATCTTTCCTAGCTCCTTCCATCCCAAAACACAGCAGAGCACAGGAGACTGATTTTTAAAGTTAACCTTCTGACATTTGGGCTTTGAGATGTTTGAGGAATAAGAAATTTTGTGTGTGCATGTAGGTTTATGCTGTTTGTTCTCCTTATTTCATACTATGATTTTACAGGACAAGATAGATGCTTTTGTTCCAAAAATTTAATATTGGTGAAATCAACATACCCATGAGAGAAGATTTTGGTGTGCTTGTATCTAATTCCGAGCAATATATGACCAAACCTTTCTGTCTTTGTCACTGAGACCCTTCAGTAATATACATACAGTGCTGCCGTCTGTAGTGACCAGTGCTCAGCTGTTGATACTGATTTCCTCAAGTGGTTATGTTTCAATGCTGCACTGTTTGCCCTTTTAAATTACAAACCCCACATTGTTTTCCTCTGAAAGTGGAAAATAAGGGTGATTCAATCATTTTCATGAACCGTATGTGTGTATATATATTACATATAAATTATGTGTATTAATTGAAGATATAATTTAAAAAATATACTATAAATTTGAGTAGGATATTTTCAAGAACTACAGCATTGATTTCAGTATACTGTAGTGGTATGAGAAGTTCAGTCCAGCCTTACAGTTATTCAGATTTAGAGTGATTTGAGGGATTTTTATTTCAAAGAGCACTGAACAAACTAAACATCCTGATTAAAAAAAAGTAAAATTTTTTTGCATCTAGACAACAATAAAATGAATGAAGTTATTCTTACATGCCCAGAATTCAAGTTTAAATTAAAGTAGTTCTACCAAAGGGTAAAAAACCTTTCAGTTTCATCTTAAAAAACAAAAAAAAAAAAAGAAAAAAAAAAAGAAGAAAACGCCCCACAAAAATTCTCAGCCTTATACCTTTTTCTAAGCCAGACATTTGCTGGTATCTACTTTGTGGATCTGTAGTGCATGCTTTCCCTCTCACTTCCCGAGCAGAACTCCTGCAGAGTCAGTGGGCATGCTGAGCGCAGAGTGAAAACAGGCTGTGCAAAAATTATCTGCTGCATAGATCAGAGGAAAGGGCTGCTTAAACATGTCATCAGAGTAGCAAGGACTAGTCTAGAAATGCAAAAAAATATGCCAGTAAATTCGTGTGCTGGAAAGGGTGCATTTTTACCTCCAGATCAGGGAGTGATAGGTGAGAGGCAGTTGTTTGTGTCTCAATTTCTGTAATTTCAATAATTATAAGAACTTTTATATTTTTTTAAAACCCCTTATTTGCTAGATAAAATTTCAGCAAATGAAATGAGAATGCACCTTTTTGTTATGCTTCTGACAAAGGCATTCTAAGCACAGCTTTGAATAATACCTCTCTCTCTTGCTTTTTATATGCAAAATCTGCCACAGTTGACACCTCCAAGAGCTGACATTTCCTCCCCCACTTATGAATAGAGAGCCTCACCTCTGGTAATCTCATGCAGTTTGAAGGGTAGACGCAGAAGACAAGGTGGTTTGGCAGATCCTCAGGAAGCTGATAAATTAGGAGGGTTTATGAAATCTGGGGAAAAATAACTGATCTTTTTCTTTATTTTTCAACACATGCATTTATTGAGAAATAATTGCTCCTTTATTTGTAGGGACATTTAAAGGTCAGAAAAATTGTTTCCTTTTTAGATAGAATAGAGGCACTCGAATACTACTAATGCCATAACCTACATTTATCCAATTATACGTTTCATTGAGGGATTGGCTGGAATCCAGATGCAGTAGTTAGAATAAAAGGCTCCCTGTCATTTAAGTCTATGTGAAATAGTTCACTGTTTGCAATTGAATCTGCAGAACCTTATCTGTTAAGCTTAAAAAGCCCCCAGTAAACTGGAACACTCTCGAGTGTTTAGTAACTTCTAGAGTGCTAAAGTGCATGAATAATTTTGCTTTGTAGGCAAGTATTCTGCATTTAGAACTTTTGAAAATACTGATCTGTGCCATTGTTTTCTTATTGTTTGCTTTGTGTATTTGGTGTGCATAGTTTTGGTGGGAAGAGTATTGCCAGAGGCCTTTCACCCTAATTTTCCAATAACACTGAAATGGTCTCTCCATATGCATTTTCTGAGCAGAGTCATCAAGGGAGACTGACACAGTATTTAAGCAGCACTCGATTTAGCCCTTGAACATGTTGCCTAGGGTAGCAGTTCTTGATTTTGAAAGCAGTTGAAAAATTAAAGACAAATGATGTCTGGGCTTCCTGGGATTTGTTTAAATTTGAAAATCTAAGTTTCTC